TTCTATATAAGAAAGGATCAGCTGACTGACTACATACATCTATGTGAAGGAGATAAAACATAATTCTTGTAAGATCTAATCACTCTATGGAAACGTTTATGCCAGAAATGTCGCACTGTGGCCAATGTTTTTAATGTTTATCTAAGGACTGGGGAGGGGGGGCTGGCTCACCCACAATTTCCGCTACCGGTTTGGGCGAACTGGTCCGAACCGGCTGAATTCCACCTCTGAAAGGCAGCCAATGGCTTCTCCATCCACAAAACAGAAAGGGGTGCATACTAGTTTTACATCCAGTTAGATCAATTGGAATTTGGCACCATTGTTTGCAACAGACGATTATGTCTCTCCCGCTAAAACTATTTTTTTTTTCCTTCCTGAACTCCTAAGCCTGAAAAATAATTACATCTTTGGTGTCGTGGCCATGTGTGTTCCAATTATGGAAACAACAGATCTGCAATTTCAAGTAAAGTTTCTCTAATAAAAGCGGGTGGCTCTGTTCCTCCGGGAAGAGTGGTTGAGAAAAAACACACAAAACCTGTCATTATTACCTGGCACTTCCCCATCCATCGATGCAAACACTCATCCTGCCATCTGTCAGGAACCGTCCCAGCAGAGTCATAACCTCATTCACAAAAGAAGAACGTGTAGGAAATTGCCGGTACGGGCTGTCCTCGACTTACAGCAGTTCGTTTAGTGACAGGCATTCGCAATGACGGCATTGAAGAAAATCACTTGTGAGCGTGTACCATAATTATTGAGAGTGTCAGTAATTCCCCGGTACTGAGCTCCTGTATCTTGAGCTACAGAGATTCTCTTAGAAGGGAACATTTAGAGCTGAAGAGTTGAACTGTCCTTGCTGCTCTCTGAGCTTGGTGGTTTTCTTGCAGGCATTTCATGACCCAACTAGGTAACAGCATCAGCACAAAAAGAGAGTGGAGTGGATGGAGAGTAAGAGGAGGTGGTGGTGGAGATGGGGGAGGAGGAGGAGGATTGTGGGGGCTTTGGTGATCTCTGAGCTTAGTGGTTTCCTTGCAGACATTTCATTACCAAACTAGGTAACCTCATCAGTGCTCCAGAAGAAGACCACCATGGCTTCAAAATCTAAGGGACCGGTTTAGACAAAACTCAGCAGCACTTTTTGGTGCAGCTGTTGATGAAAATGGGATTACCGTCACGATCGCCAACATCCAATGACGGACATGGCACAAGAGGAGGAAGAAGGAGAAGAAGAAGAATAGATGTGTGAAGAGAACATACCTGTACCAAGTTCTACACTGCTTCAAATCTTATTACAACCTTTTATGCCAGTTGTGTGACGTCTATGGAGGTTTGCTGTCAACTGCGTTGTCCAGTTGCATTTCGGAAAAAGCACCTTTGAGGCTACCATGATAACTTCCAAGTATTGACTGCTAACAATCCTTTTACCCTTGAATTTCTTCCAGTTAATTATCCACAGAAATTGATTAATTACGCTGACATAAATACTTCATCTTGATCATCCCCCATAAGTAGCTCAGAGTCGATGGGCATTACAAGTGCAAAGCCCTCTTGTTTTCCAAAGGCGCAGAGGATGATTCACGGGAACCTTCTCTCTGGAAAGGTAAGGCTGGCAGGGGGTCTTTGGGGACTTCGGGTTCGGTGGACATCAATTCCCAGAAGTCTAATTCCCAGACCACTAATTCTTTCAGTCAGAGACTAAAAGATGCCACAAAAAGCACCGTATCTGCAAGCGTAAGGCGAAAGGTGTAGCTTACAGCCCCATTCAACCGGGAGGCTGATCTTTTGGGACTACAGGTTCGGTGGGCTTCAATTCCCAGGATTCCCCTGTCGGCACTGAATTCTGGGAGTTGAAGTCCACACCTCATAAAGAGGCCAAGGTTGAAAAAACACAGCCCTGAGGCTCAGAAGCGACTAAAAGATCTCACAAAAGGCTCTCATTCTCCCAACTTTGAAACTAATTTTCGGATTCTTCCAAGTAAAAGTAGAATTCGCTAAAAATTGGGGCCAAAGTAACTGCTGACAAGAGGAGAAATAAAGAAACCAAAAAGAATCGCTCCCTGCCCTTCCAGTGGTGCCTCTCAGTTGTGAGACAACTGAGCATCGATACAAAGACGTCTTTACAGAGGAAGAAACTGAGGAGACCACATTTCTCTCACGGGCCAACCGAGTAATCTCGTGATTTAAGACTGGAGTAAAGTAAACGAGTTGACTCTGGGGGGGAAAAAACGGCAGAATGCCTCACAAAATGATAAAAGGGAACATTATTTACCCTTCTAATTACTCCGCATGCGAAACACTCTACTTGGGAGGCTGTAAAGCAAAGCAACAGAGAACTGGGACTATATATAATTCATAGACTGCAGCATATTCTTCCCTTTTTGCGGCGTCTTCAGAGGCCTTCTGAAGGAAACCTTCCTTTCCTTTTCGGAGTTGTCATCTCCCTCAGGTGGCTCCATGGCCAACCTTGACGCAGCTACTGGAAATTAAAGAGGAGCTGTCTAACGCAGCGGTCGGCAACCCTAAACGCTCCAAGAGCCACTTGGACCCGTTTCCCACAGAAAAGAAAACACCGGGAGCCACAAAACCCTTCCGGTGCCTGACTATTTCCTGAGCAGCTACAAAACTAGCATATG